AATATCATGTTTCCAAATACTACCATCCCTACATCCTGAAGCAATAATATGTTTATTCCATGTCATAACACCTACACAAGTAGTATGACCACTCACTGATCTAATCTTTTGAACACTCCAAATATTACATATTTCAATATTGCCATCATTCAATCCCACAGCAAGATGATCACCATCTTCAGACCATGAAAGACTAGAAATAGTATTAGTACCACTTCCAATTATAGTAATTGCTGACACTCATCAGTTATTATATCCCACAATAAACTCTTTTATCTAATCCAACTGCCACTATATTTTGTTTACCCCAATCCAATAAATTTAAATAATAGTCATCAATCAATCCTGGTACATCAGGTGCATATTCAGGGCTTGTTGGTGTTATACGTTTTTTGATACATGATGACTCTAATTGACAATTGTAAATTTGGTTTAATTAGAGATGTGTCATGCGCATTATGTGCATAATAGATATAGATAAATATGTGTTACGTACCAAAATTTTAATTTTTTTTTTAAATTCTGTATTACATGATATAGATAATTAAATAAAAATTTAAATGAGCTGTGGGCATAGTTTATATTATATACTCTGAAGAAGGTTCTGGATATATTTTATCATCCTACGTTACGAAAAATGAAAAATAATCAATGTATTTTACTGTAAAAATATTATATTCTGTTAATAAAGAATTCTCGCCATATACCACACAACAAATAATGTTTCCACCACCAGCATGAAGCCAATAATGCATTCATTATATATGACCTTATAAAATAAGAGAATCAAAAGAAAAAAATCATAAATGTGACTTTAACAATAATAATAAAAAATATCTGATCAAAAATTTTTCTAAGAATTAAAAAATTTATTATTTCAACATCTTTTCTTTTGTTGTTATTACTAGAATCCAATTAATTAAAAAGATTGTTAGTAACAATTAAAATCAATATTTAAGAGAAAAGAGCTAAAATCACAATCATTTAGTGAACTATCATTACTTGTATAACTTTTTAAACTTTTTTGATTTAGCAAATCCACCATTTAAGGAATGTGTACTTGTTGTGAATCACCACCACCAATACTAATATCACTACCAACACTATTATTATCATTATGAATTTCTTCTAGTTTATCCCTAGCAAATTCCCAAAGTCCACAATAGTTGGTCTTTTTCTTTGCATCATTCGCACATAATCATCAGGCATTCCTAGTAATATTGGTGGTCGCAACCTTCACATATATATGGTGATTATGAGCTCTATTGTCAAATGGTGGATTTCCTGCAAATATTAACACCCTGATGCTATAAATATCTGTTTCATTATTGTGTTGATTTTTACTTCTAAGCAGCTCAGGTGCAACATATAATACAATCCCATGGATTTTATTTGATGATGTTTCATCAACTGGTCCACATAATCCCAAATTTGTAACAAGACAAACACCTCCTTGCAATAATACATTACCACTATGTAAATCACATTTGATTGATCTTTCTTATGTATATCATATAATATATCACATGGAGAATAAAATATTGTAATTCTATCCTTTAGTGTTAAATTAGAATGAAGTTTTTGTAAATAGTCCCTTAAATTTCCTCCTGAATTATAACCTAAAACCATTGCATGATTTCCATTATCTGGGAATTTTGTGATACAATAGCAAAGAACAATTGATCCTGAATTGATTTTACAATAATTCATTGCCTGTAATTAAATATTGTTTAAATGACAGCTAAGTTCATTAGCCAAATTGACTCTCTTAATAAATGATCATTGCTAAAATCTGAAATGCCGAGGTAGTTTCTAAACCTTATTAGTTGCTGGAATTATATTTACGAAATACTGGATGGTTTTTTGTGTCTATTAATATAAAAAATATAGTAAATCCAAAATTGCTTGCTGAAATTCAACCTTCGCAAAATCTATCAGAGTATTTAGTTGGTTTACACTTGCTGAATTCTTTTGGTTTGTCCCATTTATAAATTATATTATATAATTCAAAGCCATAAATAAGCTTTTTTATTCACAATATTCTTTTTCGTTTTCAGAAAGCTGCTTGTTTTTTCAACTAATAAAAAAAAAAATCTTTTCTACTTTCTTCATCAGATGTATTAACCACTGCATTATTGCTCATTTCATTATCAATTTTAAATATAAACTCACTCCTTTCCAGAGATAATAAGACATTATATAAAAATAAATGGTTTTTAAATTTTGACTTGATTATTGTATTTGAATAGTTTTTTTTTTTTTTTTTTGAAAATAACAGTGCTTGCGTTATTTCTCTTTTTTCTGTTTTTCAATATGACGTGTAACAAACTGTGTCATTTTGTAAATTCCTTTTAAGTAATAATTTTATTGAAAATAGTTTTTTTTAATTTGCTAAAGACCTTTTCCTACAAGTTTACTACTATGTTAACCTCAAATTTGGCATCTATATACATTTAAAAACATTTTTTTTTGCCAGGAAGAAATGATCTCTTGATTACAATTATAGTTATTTGATGAAATTTTTGAAAGGATATCTATTGATGATAGTGTTCAAAGTCTGATATTTAATTATGTCTAAAAAATTTCATACCTAACCAATTCCAAAATATAGCATATATGGTTACAGGTAAAGTAAGTGGAATTAACAAACAATAATATTCATCTTTTTTAATCAAATCCAATGTCTATCATTATCATCATAATATTAGTTTTTAATATTATTACAAAAGAAACACAAATATATTTATAATAAAGTTTACCTTATTTCCGGTTTCTGGTATGAGCTTGCTAAAAACAATGGCATACATACTAAACACAAATATAACAAATGTGAGAATTAATAAGATCCATCCCCAAATAGCAGTTGTATCAGGCTCTTGTTGCGATAAATGTCTTGTAGATTTACGTGTATAAGTTGGCGTGTTTGGTCTTTCTATCAATAACGAAGGTTGTGATTGTAAAGAAGAAGATCGTTGTAATGGAATTGGTGATAATCGTTGATTTTGTATGGAAATTGATGATGATGTTATAATATCATTGTTCTCAAAATTATCGTTATTATTATTAGAAGAGGAAGATGAAGAGGGTAAAGTAGGTGAGGAAGGTGTGAAGGAAGAAATGGGAGATGTAGAATTGTACATTTGATTAAAATTAAAAAATACAGTCAAACCTCGATAAGCCGAACTTTTGGGAATCACAAAAATAGGATCGGCTTATCAAAATTCGGTTTATGATACAAACAGGGCTGGCAGCGTAAAGGGTTAAAAACCTAATTTAGTAATAATCATCTTGACTAAACTTAACTAAACTTAACATATGACTAAATAGTTTAGTCAGTTTAGCTAAATACTCATTTGAGTTACGCAGCCCTGGATACAAAACGATTTTTATTGATTGTTCAAAATGAATTCGGCTTACAACGTTATAATATCCTCCTCGTCTTTTTATTAAAACTTGACATGGTAAGTAGAATTGTTGGGTGATCGACCGTTTTTAAACCGAATTTTATCATCATAAGACGAATTTTTAAAACCAGTTTATGATCATATTCGGCTTAGAAAGTTATATTTTTATTATTTTGTACAAACCATTAAGTTCGGTTTATCAAGTAAAGTAGAAATTATAATAAAATTCGGCTTAACGAAAATAATTTTTATTAAATATGATTTGGTTAGCCAATTTTGCATCGTTATAAAGCGAAAATCGATTTATGGTAGTTCGGTTTATCGAGTTTGACTGTATTCCTTTTTTCGTGTCACTCAATAAAAAAACCAACAAATCGGAATTCATTCTTTTGTTACCCTGGTTAAAAATCCAAGGTAACTACAATATTAATATATATTTATTCTCCTTCCTTTTGGATGGCCTTGTAGTGCAGCTAATTACAGAACTAGTAAGGCATGAGTCCAGGCACTAGTACCTAGGATGACCTAATCAGAAAATCGGTTGACCCAAACAGGTTGACATAACCTGATTTATATCATGGTAAAAAATTTTAATAATTATGATAATAAGGTATATATGATTTTGATAGAAGGAAAGGAAAGAAAATTAGCGACATTGATTAACTCAAATTAAAAAAAATATATGGATATTTAAAAAGTGCAAAGTCAAACAACAAGGCAGAAAAGGCAAACAACACAAAAAATTGATTTTTTAAGCAGAGTAATGAACATTGATTGTTGCTTTACTAAATTCACAAAGATCAATGGCAACTTTTTTTCCTTTGGATATGGATTTTTAATATCATTAAGCAAAGCTAAACCGCCTAAAATCATTTAGACTGTAAATGTGATAAAGCAGCTATTAAAATATTTACAACGATAAACCAAACCTCGGAATTTCTTAACGTGACACGTGTATGGCGTCACGTATCATTGAAAAACAAGAGTATTATCATTTGGTTACTTCACAAAAGTAAAATAAATGGTTGGATAAAGCAATATACATTATTAACTTTCCATTCTGTAAATAAAATAGGAATATTAAATCATTAAATATACCAAATGCATACCTCAAAGACTTAGTTTTAAGGTTTATCTTCGATTTTTCCTATCCAACCATCATCACGACTTTAGATCGTTTTATGTGCTAGTCGATTTTGCTTTCTATTATTCTGGAAAACAGGCTGCCCTCTTTGTTCTCGTACGCCGCATTACTAGAATTCACGGGATATGCTTGATCCTAATAATATCATTGCCTTTGATAACCATCATATATCATGGAGCAGGACCTGTAAAAGTACTATATCAAAAGTTTGTCATTAGCTGCCAACATTTAGGATTAATAAAGCATACGCCAGCCGAGTATATCGTTTTTTTCATTTATTTGGTTTAATGGTAGAAATGCCGATCCTATTCCGTTGTTTTTTGGTATGTTCTTTATGTGAACACGCCCCTTCTAAACCACAACGTATCTACGCTCTCAAAGTATGTAAAAGCATTTGTTCAACCTTGTGGAATAGAGATGTCAACGCAGCAAGGAACATACGTAACAGACATCTTTATCTATATGTACAACAATAATGGTCAACATCCGGATCATTTCATATGTTTATTCTACTGAAATTAAAACAACAACGACAAAATAATTTTTAATTTTTTTTTAATTTTTAATTTTTTTAAATATAATTCTACCCGAGACTGGAGTGGGAGATTCGTTGTTGTTAGCGGTAGTTTTGAGTAGACAGCGCATGATGGTTAATAACAAGCCTCTATGAAGCTCAGTACATCACCCCAGTAACGCATATATGTTACACATATAGTCCACGAAAGTGGATATCAGTTTTGAGAAGCGTTAACAACCTATGATACAAATAAATATAAATATGTATAATAAAATATGTGACAATTTTAAATTCTGACATGAAATGTAAAAAAAAAAATAAAAAAATAAATATATAAATATATAAATATAAACAAAAATAAGAATTGATTGTCCATTTTCTATTCAATCTTTTAATTCTAGCAATAAACTTTAATAATTGTTATTTTTATTATTTTTTTGCTCTTCAACCCAACTCATGACTAGTTTTTCATGACCTTCACGTTCTTCTTTCAATTTTTCCTAATAATGTTAATAAAACGTGTTAACGTTAATAAATAAATTATGATGAAAAATCAAAAATTCTGCGTGTTTCATTATTTACATTTAATCTATTGATATTATCACGTAAATCTGTTTTTTCTTTTTCACTACTTGATATATGAGCTTCTGCCTCGGCTAATTTTTCTTTGACACTTTCTATGGCATTACTTAATCTTAAACATTTACTATCAGAATATTCTAACTACAAAATAAATAAATAAAATATGCAGAAATTAATATACAATAAACATTAATTTATAAGTTAATTAGATTTAAATAATAAAATACCTTCTCAGTTAATTGTTGTATTTTCTGCTCGTATTGTTTATTGTTCGTCAATAATTCGTCTTGATTAGTATCTTGACTGTCATTATCAGTTTCAGCAACACTCTGTAATATTCATATATTAAAAAGATAAAAAAAAATCCCCAATAAATATATCAAAGAAGATGAAGATGATAGTGTAGATGGAAGTAATTATCTAATAATTACCTCTATATTGGTGCTTGTATCATTAGATTTATCTTTAATATCTAAATTTTTCTTAGTTTCAATTTGTAAATTTTTAATTTCTTTCTCAGATATCTCCTAATCACCAAATAATAATTAGAATATTATTCAAATATATTGTATAAATGCACATATGTATGAATAAATATATTTATATATTTTCTTCACCTTTTGAATTTTCAATTCTTCCTTTAAAGATTTGATTGTTTCATTTAAATCAATCTCTTTTTCGTTTGCCTTTTGTTTTTCCAATTCCAAAGATGTGATTTTTTCATTTAAACCAATTTCTTTGTCTTTTTCCTTTGCCTTTTGTTTTTCCGATTCTTCTTTTAGATTATTATTTTCAGATTCTAAAGATATTATTTTATTAGAGTTGGCTTCCTCTACCGCCCTTTGTTTTTTCGATTCTTCCTTTAATTTATGATTTTCATCCTCCAAAGATACAATCTTTTCATTTAGATTGAATTCTTTATCTTCTATCACCCTTTGTTTTTCTGATTCCGTCACCTTTTGTTTTTCCGATTCTTCCTTTAATTTATGAATTTCAGCTTCCAAAGATGTGATTTTTTTTTTTAAACCAGTTTCTTTGTCTTCTTCGCCCATCCTTTGTTTTTCCAATTCTTCTTTTAATTTACTATTTTCAGCTTCTAAAGATGCAATTTTATTAGAATTAGCTTCTTCGTTCAACTTTTGTTTTTCCAATTCTTCCTTTAATTCATTAATTTCAGTTTCCAAAGATGTGATTTTTTTATTTAAACCAGTTTCTTTATCTTCTTCACCCATCATTTGCTTTTCCAATTCTTCTTTTAATTTACTATTTTCAGTTTCTAAAGCTGTGATTTTATTAGAATTAGCTTCTTCATTCAACTTTTGTTTTTCCAATTCTTCCTTTAATCGATTAATTTCAGACTCTAAAGGTACAATTGTATTAGAATTAGTTTCTTCATTCAATTTTTGTTTTTCCAATTCTTCCTTTAATTGATTAATTTCAGCTTCCAAAGATGTGATTTTTTCATTTAAGCTAGTCTCTTTATCTTCTTCACCCATCCTTTGTTTTTCCAATTCTTCTTTTAATTTACTGTTTTCGGCTTCTAAAGATATGATTTTATTTGAATCAACTTCTTTATCTTCTTTTACTATTTGTTTTTCAAATTCTTCCTTTAGTTTGTTATTTTCAGCTTTTAAAGATACAATCATATTAGAATTAGCTTCTTCATTCAACTTTTGTTTCTCCGATTCTTCTTTTAATTTACTAATTTCGGACTCTAAAGATGTGATAGTAATAGAATTAGCTTCATCTTTCATATTTTGTTTCTCGAGTTCTTCTTTTAATTTATTATTTTCAGTTTCTTCATTCAACTTTTGTTCTTCCAATTCTTCCTTTAATTTACTATTGTCAGCTTCTAAAGATGCGATCTTTTCATTTAAATCAACTTCTTTATCACCTTCCATCTTTTGTTTTTCCAAATCTTCTCTTAATTTATTAATTTCAGCTTCTAAAGATGTGATAGTATTAGAATTAGCTTCTTCGTCCATCTTTTGTTTTTCCAATTCTTCTTTTAATTTATTATTTTCAGCTTCTAAAGATGCAATAGTATTAGAATTAGCTTCTTCTTCCATCTTTTGTTTTTCCAATTCTTCTTTTAATTTATTATTTTCAGCTTCTAAAGATGCAATTTCAATTGAAACAGTTTCTTTATCTTCTTCATTCAACTTTTGTTTTTCCAACTTTTCCTCTAATATACCATTTTCAGATTCCAAAGATACAATCTTTTCATTTAGATCAATTTCTTTATCTTCTTGTATCGACTTTTGTTTTTCCAATTCCTCCTTTAATTTATAATTTTCATCTTCCAAAAACACAATCTTTTCATTTAGATTTGACTCTTTATCTTCTTCTTCTATCTTTTGTTTTTTCAATTCTTCCTTTAATTTATTATTTTCAGATTCCAAAGATGTGATTTTATCAGAATCACTTTCTCTGGCTTCTTCTTTCAACTCTTGATTTTCTAACTCGCTCTTCAATCTACTATTTTCAAATTCTAATGATATGATTTTTTTATTTGAATCAATTTCTTTGGCTTCTCTCACCTTTTGTTCATTTTTTAATTTACTGTTTTCAAATTCTAAAGAAATAATGAGGTTATTTGAATCGATTCCATTAGCTTCTTCTTTCTTCTTTTGTTTTTCTAATTCATCTTTTAATTCATTTATTCGACCTTTTTTTTTAAGAAAAAATATAATTATTTTTTTTATTCATTTCATAATAGAAACTTTTTGAATTTATGAGATTAATTATAAATAATACTTTGTGCAGATTTTAATTTTATAGCCAAAATCTGTAAATTTTGTTGCCATAGCTGACTTGCTTTTTTAACTTTTGTAGCTAATTCATTTACTTCATCAGACTGTTTATTATAGATCATTTATAAAATAGATAAATAAATAAATATTTTGTATCTTCCAGAAAATAATTTTATATCTATATCTATATATATATATATATATCTTTTACATTATCTCCAAGAGTCTGTAAATAATTTCGTGCGCTAGATTGTAACTGTTTATAACTTGCAATTATCTCACTAAATTCCGAATCATACTTATGTATCATAAATAGAAAAATATAAATATGTTGAACTTTATAAAAGTTTAAAAATTAGATATAAAGTATATTAATAATATAAATACTTCAAATTGATCAAATTTATTGTCATCGGATAAACCTAGATGGAGTGATAGAATATCTCTAAGTGTATCCATTTCACATCGTAAACCATTATCACCGTCTTTAATTTTTTGTTCATTCTTTATCATTAATGATTTCGTCCTTTGCAAAAAAAAAATAAAAAAAAAATAAAAGATTATACATGTATAAATAATTATTTACATGTATAAATAATTATTTTAATATATACATCACAGTTTATCTACATAATTACATGTTTAATTCAGCTCTTATTTTATCAACTTCATTATGAAGTTCATGTTTTTCTCTTCCCAAAACATTTATAGCTTCTTCAGATGCATGTTGTGATCTCATAAATTCTGACTATAATAATAATAATATTACTTTATCTGTTAAACAAATAATTAGTACTAATATAAATAATGAAAATGAAATAAATACATGTAATTCTTCTTCTCTTTTTTCTAATTCAGAAATTTTTGATTGAAAAACTTTAATATCTTCTGAATAGTTATTATTCTTTGTCCAAAAACGGGCCAACGTATACCAGTAGGTTCTGATAAAGCTGCAACAGCCCAAGCACGATCACCATAACTATTTGATAAATGCTGAGCAACCTATTTCAACCACCAACCATCAGATTTGTTAATTTATTAATTAATTGATTAATTAATTTATTGACTGATTATAAAAAAATTAAAAAAAAACCTCAGTTTCTAAACCAAATTGTTGAATCAACTTTATAAACATAGTGCTGGAATAACCATGTGAACCAATAAGTTTAACATCTTTTGTACGTGAACCATTCAAAGGATTCAAACCTTTTATTTTTCCAAATAAATAAATAAATAAATAAATAAATAAATACATAAACAAAATTTTGTAAATATTATGTTATGTTATCGAATTTTTTTTTCTTTATATTTGTTCAAATATTAAAAAAACTATACCATAAACTTCAATAGCTTTATCAACAGTGTCCTCTGCCATAGCACGATACGTAGTCCATTTTCCACCAGCAATAGTAATCAATTTAGAATCACTGACATTAATCATATGACTTCTTACTAACTCGGAAGTATTTTTCGCGTTAGGATCACGAACCAATGGCCTAATACCCGACCAAGCTGCGAGCACATCACCACGACGAACTTTAATATCTATTTTTATAATAATAAATTAATATTTATTTTCAGCATTTAAATATATTTCTATAAATTAAATGTAAAGAATGCAGACCTGCACTCAAATATCTTTTTATTTCTTCCAATATCCATTGAATCTCTTCTTCTTTAGCCAATGGCTCAAAAGTTACGTCTGCAGGAGAATCGGTCGTACCGGCTATGACATTACCTTCCCAAGGTAATAAGAAAATAATTCTATTGTCCGAAGTAAGAGGATCTAGCAAACCCATGTTTCGAGGACTATAATAATTTGGTAATATTATATGTGTACCAGAAGAGGGTGCAACTATTTTTTCTGTTTTAGGATCATCCAATGAACGTAAACCATCTTTTTTATTTTAAAATATAAACAATTGTACAAGTAATTAGTTACATATCAATTAAACAATAAATTCAATTGTGTATATAGCCATTTACCTGCAAATGCACCAGTAGCACTTATAACTCCTTTGGCCTTTACGTCCCATTCTTCATCAGTCAAATTATCTCTTAAACGAGCGCCATTCACAGTCCCCGATTCATCCTTTAATACCTTTATAACTTCGACATGATTAGCAACAGCAGCTCCATAATAAGCTGCAGTTAAAGCAACCGCCACATTCATACGAGCATCATTATGTTGACCTGAATAAAGTTTTATTATTATTATTATTATTATTATTATTATTATTATTATTATTATTGAATGAACGGCAATGATCTGTTAAAACTTAGAATTAATATATATATATATATATATATAACACATATCACATATAGTAATCATATGGAGATTGTTCTTCCTAAAACTTACCATCATAAAAAACTATAGCACCTACTAATTTATCTTTTTTTAACATTGGAAAAACTTCGAGAGCTTTACTACGAGTTAAGAAATAACTACTTTCCAAAGCTTCTTTACCAGACAATAATTCGTAGGCTTTTGTACCAGCCCAATAATATGGAATTTGCCACCACCTAAATAATATCAAAATTTGGGTTAATTCGGATTTAATTGGAATTGAAAAAAGATATTTACCTGTAAATCGGTAACATTATTGGCAATTGTTGACTTAGGTAAGGTGCGATGTGTAAGAAGGTTGCACGTTCGTGAAGAGCTTCCCTAACTAGTTTAAATTGACCATAATCAAGTTTTCTGAAGGCTTTCTCGAGATATCGAACACCACCGTGAACAAGTTTTGTAGAACGAGAAGAAGTTCCAGAAGAAAAATCATCTCTTTCAACCAAGGCAACTTTTAAACCTCTTGTGGCAGCATCAAGAGCCACACCAGAGCCAACAGCGCCACCACCAATAACTAGTAAATCAAAAGTTGAATCATCCGAAGATGCTTTACTTGAATCGAAATTTGATTGTTTGAGCATATTCAACACTTCATTTCTTGAAGGAGGAGCCCATAAAGCATTTATTGATTTATCATCTATATTTCCTTCGAATTGAACATGTTCGGCATGTGCCTGGTTTAAGAATCGATTAGATAAGTGATGATGGTGATGATGATTTTTTTTTGAATTAATATAATAATAGGAAGAGGCAATTCCACTCGATCCAATTAAAGTAGTGTAAAAAAGTTTTTTGTTGTTATTCAAAAATTTCCACATTATTATTAATTGATTAATTTAATTAATTAATTAATGTTATTTTTTTTTTTTTGAAAATAAATATTTCTAAAAAAACTAATCGATTTTTAAAATTTTAAATTTTTTGGGTCGTATTTATATTTATGAAATGTCAACATGACACAGGATCTATGTATGAAGATTGATAAGATATAAATAAATTTACGGAGATATTTACCATAATAAGTAATTAATTATTCTTTCTCATTTATTATTATATTTATCAAAAATTAATGTCAATATTTTTTCCATGCAAATCATATGATAGAACGAAGGGGAAAAGGAAAAGGAAAAGAACAAAAATATTTCTTTAAAAAAAAATCTTGCCACAAATTTTCAATTCAATTTAATTGGTTGATTTTATTATATACTATGCAGTAAACGTAGAAAATATTTCAACGCACATGACACAATGATTTACCGGTTATAGATATTTGACATGTGCCGACCGTTAAAAACAAAAAAATCTTTGTATTGTTGTTCACCTCCCAAAAAAAAATAATGACTTCTCCAAAATATTAATAAAATCAACCACGCAAAAGAATATAGAAATATTGTTTTTTTATCAACAATATTTTGTTCCACAACTTTTCCCCACACAATATGATGTTCTGTGATACGACGAGGTATGAATCTTGTTTTACTTCTTGTTTTTCACCATTAAATTATCAATCGTAAAAAAAAAAAATGCTTGAGAATATATTCATTGTTCATAATTGTTATATTTATGCTGTGGTGAGATTATTTAAATATAATAGAGCTTATTATACCATTTATTCTTTTTTTGTTATTATCAGTCATCTATTTGTTATTATTTATAATCATTATTTTGTAATACTAGTCAAATCAGCACATGATGATTTCTACATAAAAACTTTAACTTTAAAAACGTGGATTTTTTTTTTTGAAAAAATTTTTCTTCTTTCTAATAATTATCTAATTAATAATTATTTATTTAATTAATAAAGAACAAAATTGTTCTGTAATTATGAGCGAAGAAAGAATTTCTTCTTCATCACCTTCTCTTCAATCTTCAGGTATTATTATTATTGTTATTATTTCCTAATAATTAAAGTTAATTAATTGATATATTCTGGTTAGCAGGTGTAACTTCTGCAGAAGAGCTAGCCGAAAAATACCAAAAATTATTTTCGGAATATTCACGGTTAGTTTCAATGGATAATTATTTTCTTTGGAAAAAGTTTATTTATTTTTTGTCGGAAAAAATAGGATCAAAGCTCAACAATCAATACTTAAGAAGGCTGTTATTAAGGTAAATTTTTAAATGATTATTTCGTTGTATATTGTTTATGTGATTTGAATTGAAAATTGGTGTTTTCATATAGGAACAAGCAGATAATGCGTCATTAAAGGAAGAACGTAGATCTAAAGAACAAGAATTGCGATCAGTAAGTTTTTTCTTGCTTCTTTAATCTCGAGAATCTTTCATATCGATTAACTTGCATTTATTAATAAATAATTCTTTTTCTTTCACAAAAAAAAAACATATAATATTTTTAAAGTCTTTAGAACAATTAGATCTTTTGACACTTCATAATCAACGTTTAACAAGACGTATTGAAAGTTTGCAAGATTCAAGCGGTTCGGTATATATAAATTCATTAATCAGTCATTGTTTTTTTTTCGCCAAACTTTCCTCAAACTTTCCTCAAATATTTATTTGCCTCCCTCTTCTTCCCTAGGAATTAATGTTTATTTTTTATTTTATTTTTAGAGGATATCGTCTGGTTGGTTTTTGGGTTCCGCAAAAAAAGAGCTTGAACAATTAAAATCTAATTTGGAAGCTGCTACAGTAGAGCTTCAAAGAAAGATTGAAGAAAATGGTATTGTCTTTAGTATTATAGCATTTATATTATATGTGTATATATATAAATTTACAAATATAATTACAATAAATATGTTTGATTATTATTAAATGTAGAAAATTTACACAAGGAATTGTTTGAAGTTAATAATAACTATTCAGAAGATATTAAAGTTTTTCAATCAAAAATTTCTGAATTAGAAAAAAGAGAAGAAGAATTACATGTATTTATTTCATTTTCATTATTTATATTAGTACTAATTATTTGTTTAACAGATAAAGTAATATTATTATTATTATAGTCAGAATTTATGAGATCACAACATGCATCTGAAGAAGCTATAAATGTTTTGGGAAGAGAAAAACATGAACTTCATAATGAAGTTGATAAAATAAGAGCTGAATTAAACATGTAATTATGTAGATAAACTGTGATGTATATATTAAAATAATTATTTATACATGTAAATAATTATTTATACATGTATAATCTTTTATTTTTTTTTTATTTTTTTTTTGCAAAGGACGAAATCATTAATGATAAAGAATGAACAAAAAATTAAAGACGGTGATAATGGTTTACGATGTGAAATGGATACACTTAGAGATATTCTATCACTCCATCTAGGTTTATCCGATGACAATAAATTTGATCAATTTGAAGTATTTATATTATTAATATACTTTATATCTAATTTTTAAACTTTTATAAAGTTCAACATATTTATATTTTTCTATTTATGATACATAAGTATGATTCGGAATTTAGTGAGATAATTGCAAGTTATAAACAGTTACAATCTAGCGCACGAAATTATTTACAGACTCTTGGAGATAATGTAAAAGATATATATATATATATATAGATATAGATATAAAATTATTTTCTGGAAGATACAAAATATTTATTTATTTATCTATTTTATAAATGATCTATAATAAACAGTCTGATGAAGTAAATGAATTAGCTACAAAAGTTAAAAAAGCAAGTCAGCTATGGCAACAAAATTTACAGATTTTGGCTATAAAATTAAAATCTGCACAAAGTATTATTTATAATTAATCTCATAAATTCAAAAAGTTTCTATTATGAAATGAATAAAAAAAATAATTATATTTTTTCTTAAAAAAAAAGGTCGAATAAATGAATTAAAAGATGAATTAGAAAAACAAAAGAAGAAAGAAGAAGCTAATGGAATCGATTCAAATAACCTCATTATTTCTTTAGAATTTGAAAACAGTAAATTAAAAAATGAACAAAAGGTGAGAGAAGCCAAAGAAATTGATTCAAATAAAAAAATCATATCATTAGAATTTGAAAATAGTAGATTGAAGAGCGAGTTAGAAAATCAAGAGTTGAAAGAAGAAGCCAGAGAAAGTGATTCTGATAAAATCACATCTTTGGAATCTGAAAATAATAAATTAAAGGAAGAATTGAAAAAACAAAAGATAGAAGAAGAAGATAAAGAGTCAAATCTAAATGAAAAGATTGTGTTTTTGGAAGATGAAAATTATAAATTAAAGGAGGAATTGGAAAAACAAAAGTCGATACAAGAAGATAAAGAAATTGATCTAAATGAAAAGATTGTATCTTTGGAATCTGAAAATGGTATATTAGAGGAAAAGTTGGAAAAACAAAAGTTGAATGAAGAAGATAAAGAAACTGTTTCAATTGAAATTGCATCTTTAGAAGCTGAAAATAATAAATTAAAAGAAGAATTGGAAAAACAAAAGATGGAAGAAGAAGCTAATTCTAATACTATTGCATCTTTAGAAGCTGAAAATAATAAATTAAAAGAAGAATTGGAAAAACAAAAGATGGACGAAGAAGCTAATTCTAATACTATCACATCTTTAGAAGCTGAAATTAATAAATTAAGAGAAGATTTGGAAAAACAAAAGATGGAAGGTGATAAAGAAGTTGATTTAAATGAAAAGATCGCATCTTTAGAAGCTGACAATAGTAAATTAAAGGAAGAATTGGAAGAACAAAAGTTGAATGAAGAAACTGAAAATAATAAATTAAAAGAAGAACTCGAGAAACAAAATATGAAAGATGAAGCTAATTCTATTACTATCACATCTTTAGAGTCCGAAATTAGTAAATTAAAAGAAGAATCGGAGAAACAAAAGTTGAATGAAGAAGCTAATTCTAATATGATTGTATCTTTAAAAGCTGAAAATAACAAACTAAAGGAAGAATTTGAAAAACAAATAGTAAAAGAAGATAAAGAAGTTGATTCAAATAAAATCATATCTTTAGAAGCCGAAAACAGTAAATTAAAAGAAGAATTGGAAAAACAAAGGATGGGTGAAGAAGATAAAGAGACTAGCTTAAATGAAAAAATCACATCTTTGGAAGCTGAAATTAATCAATTAAAGGAAGAATTGGAAAAACAAAAATTGAATGAAGAAACTAATTCTAATACAATTGTACCTTTAGAGTCTGAAATTAATCGATTAAAGGAAGAATTGGAAAAACAAAAGTTGAATGAAGAAGCTAATTCTAATAAAATCACAGCTTTAGAAACTGAAAATAGTAAATTAAAAGAAGAATTGGAAAAGCAAATGATGGGTGAAGAAGATAAAGAAACTGGTTTAAATAAAAAAATCACATCTTTGGAAACTGAAATTAATGAATTAAAGGAAGAATTGGAAAAACAAAAGTTGAACGAAGAAGCTAATTCTAATAAAATTGCATCTTTAGAAGCTGAAAATAGTAAATTAAAAGAAGAATTGGAAAAACAAAGGATGGGCGAAGAAGACAAAGAAACTGGTTTAAAAAAAAAAATCACATCTTTGGAAGCTGAAATTCATAAATTAAAGGAAGAATCGGAAAAACAAAAGGTGACGGAATCAGAAAAACAAAGGGTGATAGAAGATAAAGAATTCAATCTAAATGAAAAGATTGTATCTTTGGAGGATGAAAATCATAAATTAAAGGAAGAATCGAAAAAACAAAGGGCGGTAGAGGAAGCCAACTCTAATAAAATAATATCTTTAGAATCTGAAAATAATAATCTAAAAGAAGAATCGGAAAAACAAAAGGCAAAGGAAAAAGACAAAGAAATTGGTTTAAATGAAAAAATCACATCTTTGGAATTGGAAAAACAAAAGGCAAACGAAAAAGAGATTGATTTAAATGAAACAATCAAATCTTTAAAGGAAGAATTGAAAATTCAAAAGGTGAAGAAAATATATAAATATATTTATTCATACATATGTGCATTTATACAATATATTTGAATAATATTCTAATTATTATTTGGTGATTAGGAGATATCTGAGAAAGAAATTAAAAATTTACAAATTGAAACTAAGAAAAATTTAGATATTAAAGATAAATCTAATGATACAAGCACCAATATAGAGGTAATTATTAGATAATTACTTCCATCTACACTATCATCTTCATCTTCTTTGATATATTTATTGGGGATTTTTTTTTATCTTTTTAATATATGAATATTACAGAGTGTTGCTGAAACTGATAATGACAGTCAAGATACTAATCAAGACGAATTATTGACGAACAATAAACAATACGAGCAGAAAATACAACAATTAACTGAGAAGGTATTTTATTATTTAAATCTAATTAACTTATAAATTAATGTTTATTGTATATTAATTTCTGCATATTTTATTTATTTATTTTGTAGTTAGAATATTCTGATAGTAAATGTTTAAGATTAAGTAATGCCATAGAAAGTGTCAAAGAAAAATTAGCCGAGGCAGAAGCTCATATATCAAGTAGTGAAAAAGAAAAAACAGATTTACGTGATAATATCAATAGATTAAATGTAAATAATGAAACACGCAGAATTTTTGATTTTTCATCATAATTTATTTATTAACGTTAACACGTTTTATTAACATTATTAGGAAAAATTGAAAGAAGAACGTGAAGGTCATGAAAAACTAGTCATGAGTTGGGTTGAAGAGCAAAAAAATAATAAAAATAACAATTATTAAAGTTTATTGCTAGAATTAAAAGATTGAATAGAAAATGGACAATCAATTCTTATTTTTGTTTATATTTATATATTTATATATTTATTTTTTTATTTTTTTTTTTACATTTCATGTCAGAATTTAAAATTGTCACATATTTTATTATACATATTTATATTTATTTGTATCATAGGTTGTTAACGCTTCTCAAAACTGATATCCACTTTCGTGGACTATATGTGTAACATATATGCGTTACTGGGGTGATGTACTGAGCTTCATAGAGGCTTGTTATTAACCATCATGCGCTGTCTACTCAAAACTACCGCTAACAACAACGAATCTCCCACTCCAGTCTCGGGTAGAATTATATTTAAAAAAATTAAAAATTAAAAAAAAATTAAAAATTATTTTGTCGTTGTTGTTTTAATTTCAGTAGAATAAACATATGAAATGATCCGGATGTTGACCATTATTGTTGTACATATAGATAAAGATGTCTGTTACGTATGTTCCTTGCTGCGTTGACATCTCTATTCCACAAGGTTGAACAAATGCTTTTACATACTTTGAGAGCGTAGATACGTTGTGGTTTAGAAGGGGCGTGTTCACATAAAGAACATACCAAAAAACAACGGAATAGGATCGGCATTTCTACCATTAAACCAAATAAATGAAAAAAACGATATACTCGGCTGGCGTATGCTTTATTAATCCTAAATGTTGGCAGCTAATGACAAACTTTTGATATAGTACTTTTACAGGTCCTGCTCCATGATATATGATGGTTATCAAAGGCAATGATATTATTAGGATCAAGCATATCCCGTGAATTCTAGTAATGCGGCGTACGAGAACAAAGAGGGCAGCCTGTTTTCCAGAATAATAGAAAGCAAAATCGACTAGCACATAAAACGATCTAAAGTCGTGATGATGGTTGGATAGGAAAAATCGAAGATAAACCTTAAAACTAAGTCTTTGAGGTATGCATTTGGTATATTTAATGATTTAATATTCCTATTTTATTTACAGAATGGAAAGTTAATAATGTATATTGCTTTATCCAACCATTTATTTTACTTTTGTGAAGTAACCAAATGATAATACTCTTGTTTTTCAATGATACGTGACGCCATACACGTGTCACGTTAAGAAATTCCGAGGTTTGGTTTATCGTTGTAAATATTTTAATAGCTGCTTTATCACATTTACAGTCTAAATGATTTTAGGCGGTTTAGCTTTGCTTAATGATATTAAAAATCCATATCCAAAGGAAAAAAAGTTGCCATTGATCTTTGTGAATTTAGTAAAGCAACAATCAATGTTCATTACTCTGCTTAAAAAATCAATTTTTTGTGTTGTTTGCCTTTTCTGCCTTGTTGTTTGACTTTGCACTTTTTAAATATCCATATATTTTTTTTAATTTGAGTTAATCAATGTCGCTAATTTTCTTTCCTTTCCTTCTATCAAAATCATATATACCTTATTATCATAATTATTAAAATTTTTTACCATGATATAAATCAGGTTATGTCAACCTGTTTGGGTCAACCGATTTTCTGATTAGGTCATCCTAGGTACTAGTGCCTGGACTCATGCCTTACTAGTTCTGTAATTAGCTGCACTACAAGGCCATCCAAAAGGAAGGAGAATAAATATATATTAATATTGTAGTTACCTTGGATTTTTAACCAGGGTAACAAAAGAATGAATTCCGATTTGTTGGTTTTTTTATTGAGTGACACGAAAAAAGGAATACAGTCAAACTCGATAAACCGAACTACCATAAATCGATTTTCGCTTTATAACGATGCAAAATTGGCTAACCAAATCATATTTAATAAAAATTATTTTCGTTAAGCCGAATTTTATTATAATTTCTACTTTACTTGATAAACCGAACTTAATGGTTTGTACAAAATAATAAAAATATAACTTTCTAAGCCGAATATGATCATAAACTGGTTTTAAAAATTCGTCTTATGATGATAAAATTCGGTTTAAAAACGGTCGATCACCCAACAATTCTACTTACCATGTCAAGTTTTAATAAAAAGACGAGGAGGATATTATAACGTTGTAAGCCGAATTCATTTTGAACAATCAATAAAAATCGTTTTGTATCCAGGGCTGCGTAACTCAAATGAGTATTTAGCTAAACTGACTAAACTATTTAGTCATATGTTAAGTTTAGTTAAGTTTAGTCAAGATGATTATTACTAAATTAGGTTTTTAACCCTTTACGCTGCCAGCCCTGTTTGTATCATAAACCGAATTTTGATAAGCCGATCCTATTTTTGTGATTCCCAAATTTAAAACTTTGTATATAATAGTGAAAAATATTTATAATGTAATAATGATGATAACAGTTACTATTAAATGCATTTGAAAAGATTTTGGCAACATTTTTAAACCAATTCATATAATTTAGGTTCCTATTATACAAGAAATATAATTTTTTAGATTTATACCTTATGTATATGTGCATATATAAATGTGCGATGTATGGCAAATGATATCCTTTAGTAATGATTCTCCTGTTTCTACTTCAGATCTATCTAAAAGAAACTAAATATAAATTAAAAAATCAGATTCCATAACTACAAACAAACATATGAATTATTGATCAATACTTTTGCTTGTCTTTCATTATGTGTGTTTATATCATTGGGATCAACAATATTATAAAGATTTATATTTTCTCTTCATATTTCTTCTAATGTCATATTTTGTGTTAACTTAAAAATAAAATAAAAATAATCAAATTAACATAAAAATTTTAAATTATTTCATTCATTCATTTTTTTTATATTTAATTACTTGAAGTTCCTTTCTTGCTGCATCATCAAGCTCCTATCTGATTCTTGGTAATAGTACATTATTTCTTCTTCAATCTTGTTAAATCTCCAACATCTTTCATAACTTGAGTTAAACTCTGATCAACTTTATTACAAGTTATAGATATATCATTAGTTTTTTTCAACAATAGCTATTACCATTATTATCATTGTAAGTTCTTGTTATCAGGTAGGTCCTGTGTAATCACTGGCAGAAATATTTTTTTTTTTCTTTATTCAAATATATTATTATTAAACGATAAACTGATTGTATCACATGATTATAATATAAAGTTGCAAAAATAAGTATGTTTATTTCTGCCAGTAATTACACAGGACCTACCTGATAATTAAAAATATAAGGATATCTATTAAAAATTCTAATTTTCTTGTTTGCTATCTCACAAAAGTTTTCTTCTAGAGAAATTTCCTTTTTTTAATGGTTTTGTAAATCAACTTGTGAAAAGGTTTTTTACAAGTATGAGAGAGGTTAGATTGGGAGCAAATGACAACAAAATCAGACAGAACGAACAAAGCAATTCCAAGGTTAAGTTATTAAACATGACTGATCATTTTTATTGATTCCTTTAATAAATGACCTGATATAATTAATTAATCTGTAATACCTTCTATCCATCCTTATTACATATTCGAGATTATTTATATATACAGTGACGGTTTATGGAGGAATGTTTATATGATCCTCCTATCATTTAAAATTAATGATAATAGATAAAATAGATAATAACACAATTAATAAAATACATGCTAGTAAATAAATATTTAAATGAAAACAAGAAATTTAGTAATACGAGAAATTCATCGGCTCATTTAACCATTACGATTTCTTCTGATAACCAAAGTAGGTGCCAGTTTGAACACAATTTTCAAAGCGCAGACATTTTTGACATAAATCTCGTTTATGAGGAAATGTTTTACCACCTGATGATGTTAGAGGTTTGAATCCTTTCATAATACCGGTTGATCCATGGCAGTAGTTTACTTTGCACGTTTCCACCACATAAAAATCACTACCTGGAACTTCTTCTATAAACCTTTGAAGTAATATCCAAGTATAAGCACTTCCCCACCTATGTGAAAAGATACTATCGCACTCCCAATCGCCGAACACTCTGTAAAGATTGTTCCATACTAGATGACAGACGATCTCAAGGTCAGGTTTTTCCTATTGAGATAAAATTTTAAGTAAAATACAAGGTATTTTGAAAAGCAATAAATTTAACCTACATTTAAACTTTTTGGCTGTTGCTTATACAGAAGAAAACTAGAAATCGAACTCTTGTTGCCACATTTCTTGCAAGGCTGCTTGAAAAAATCGGCCAATTCTTCTGGTGTTTTTTTTAGATATTCGCGTAACTTCTTCCGAGTAAATTCAGCACTTTTCCATTCATGTTGACATTGCCAATCATGTTGACATTCCCTTTCGCTTTGACATTTATGTCGACAATCCCATTCGCTTTCACATTTGTATAGACTAACCGATTTTTTTTTTATCTCGTGTTGACAGTCCCATTTATATTCATCTTTGGATTTTGTGTGCTGGCAATTTTGTTCATCTTTACATTCTTTCTGATGTTTGCAAACCCAGTTGTTTTGATCTGTCCATTTATCTTGACATTTCTCTGCATGTTGAGGTCGTTGCCAAGTTTTTGGACATGTACACTGATGGCGCCGACAATCCTCTCCATTCTGACACTTAACAACAAGGTCACATTGCATTTTGTTTTGATATTCCCACACTTTTCGACATGACCATTTGTCTTGACATTTTTGTTTGTGTTGACAATTCCATTCTCGACATAACCAATTGCCGTACACTCTAAATTTATTATTATCGATTAGATGACGAAGGATTACAACAATCTATGTGAGTAAAATATTAAACAGAATATTAGAAATTGTGTTATATTTCAAAAGGCTAAATGTCTTGTATTTGACATACATTCGACTCTAGTGGCGGTTCCTTCTTGTACAAACTGATACTTGAGACCAGGCACTCAGTATTGCACCCCCAACATTTCCTGTAAAAACAATTTTGATGCTTTAAAATTTTACTAAATGCCTCCGGTTCATATATGCTATCCCATTTATCTCCGCATTTACATAACCAAGTGCAGTGCCCTCTATGTTTACTATCCTGAGTTAGGCTCCTTATGTAAGAAA